TTTGTTAGCCTCGCGGTGGCCTTTTGCACTGTTTGTTTGCTTAAAGCTCAGCGAACTTTCAAGGCGATGTGGTTGTTTGAAATGCACCAAAAAACAGCCTGACGGATGAAAACATATTTTTACTCCACTTCATATGTTTCCTTTTGATTTCGACTGCAGCCTGTCTAGGCAACCGATTGACTATTATGATCAGGCCGACGTCTCAAAGCAGTCTTGTGACAGTCTTACCGACGAAAACCTTTATTTCGTTTTAGTTTTTTCCTTTTGAGTTTGTACCGCAGCCCGTTTTGGCATAGACTACTTCGGGTGGCCAACCGACTAATATGAGCTTGTCGACATGGGAGAACAGCCTGATGTGCAGTCAGTCTTTCAGTTGAAAACGCATTTTTAAAACCTCTCCATTTCTTTGGCCCACCGATGCATGCTGTGATAGCATGTCATTATGTGAAATACCCTTTGATTCTTTCGCATGTTTACCGCAGCCCATTTATGCAGCAAATACACCGGGCAGCCTACTGACCAAAATTTGAGTTATTCGCCAAAATGTTAAAGCAGCCTTGTGACAGTCAACCTGCAGGTGGAAACATGTTTTTTTTTTATTTTGTTTCAAGCCTTCATGTTTCCTTTCAGTTTTTACTGCAGCCCGTTCAGGCGGCAAACACGCTGGTCATGCGCATATTTGTGACACTTTCTGCTCACTGGCCATGTCACTTCCTGTTTGCAGCCTTCTGGTCCTTCATGTGGTTCGTTGGCTTCTGCTTCCTGGCCAATCAGTGGCAGGCAACCGACCAGCAGGACGACCCACTGAGGGAGCGCGGGGACGCCGCCCGAGCCGCCATCACCTTCTCTTTCTTCTCCATCTTCACTTGGGTACACTCCCATGCTTCAATTTGCTTTTTTATTTGTTTTTTATTACCGTAGTGGCACGTTAAACGTGTTCAATATTTCCGACCATAAAGCTCCATATGTGTAGGGGAAATCTGACGTCTCCCACAGTCATTTGACTCCTTCAACCGGACGCAAACCAGCCAATCAAAGAAGCGTTCTCCAAGTGCACACTTTACGGTGCAGATGAGCATTCGCCATGTGTGTTGTTTTGTGTTGGGGTTTTTTTTTTTTCCATGTATCATCAGCATCCCCCACATAAGTTAATTTGAGACCCCTGCTGTAGTGCGTGACTAGCGCGCCACGTTTAACGGGAATGAACAGAGCTGCGTTGATTGTCTGGCTTGACTGAAGTCAGCTGTGATCACTAACACAGCGGTGCAGCCCTCCCTCTGCCAAATCCACGGCCTGCACTCGTCTGCGAAATTATTACCAACGTAGGAGGTAAGCGACCTCCTCGCAGATCTGCGCCACACACCCCACCGGATTTCCGCCAATCACGAAAGTAGAAAAAATAAATGATCGCATGGCAGTCACAGCAGATTGGGTGACTGCAGGAGGTGCCCAAATGTACTCGCTATATTCATAAACAATGCACATTATAAATATTGTGTTTCCCCACTACAATATTAATAGTTTAATGAATTAAAAAAAAAGGCTGCCTTTATGTGAGAATGTTTTTTCGTTATATTTTGTGTAATTGGAAAGACTGTCTTTTTATTTCATATACAAGTAGCAAATATATGTTAAATGAAATCCTGGACAGCCTCATTATGACCATTTTAAAAATACATATTAATATAATTATGATGAGTCCAAAAAGGTTGTCTTTACTTTGTAATTTTGTTACTTTTGAAAGCAAGTAAACAGTGAAGTATTTTCTCAAGCAACGCTTGTAGTGAGTGCGGCGCACTGCCGATACAGAGACTCACGTCCAGAGGTGAAAAGAGTTTTTGAAAAACGCTCCACTGTGTTGACCGATCGCGAGTGGTCGATCTCGGTCAGCGTGTGACGTGCGTGTTGTTCCGACAGGGCGCCCAGGCTCTGTTCTCCATGGAGAAGTTTAAGAACGTGTCCTTTGAAGAGGAATACACCAAGCTGTTCCCACCTCAGCCTCCCCAGCCGCTTGTCTGACCGCTGCTCTTGTTGGAATCCGCGATCATTTCTGCCATTTCCCAAAGTTTAAAACATCAGATTTTGGCTCGCAATAAAACCACCGTGTGAAGCTTGATAAGATTTCCCTTCCGTGATTTTATTGCGTTGAAATGTTGAATGGGAATGACACTTTTTTTTCTTCTTCTTCCAAAAAACAAGCTTCTAATTTGCCTTTTGGTATTAGTGAATGCATTGAATGGACAAAAGTATTGGGCCACATCTCTTATTCAATCTTGTGGTCTTCACATGAGTTCTATGAAGTACCGTGAGCAAGCGTGGGGCCGATTTTTGGCGTATTTCTTCGGCGCTCATCATGAATACCTATGAGAAGCCGATACATTGATGACATGACACAGACTACATCGGCACTTTCGCGGCGCCATCTTGAAGTCATAATAATATAATAACAAGAACAACATCAATATACTTTAAAAAAAAAAAAGTTTAGGTACTGGAATAATGGAATAATCTGGATCCAGATGATTTTTCCTATTTTTTTTTTCGTGTAATCACTTGCCGAAATAAAATTGAGAAAATTCAACCAAAACGTTTTTGGCAGTGTATATGATTGATTGACAGAGCTGTGCTTGGGTCTCCTGTGGACTAAAAGAAGCAGAAGAATTATATGCACTGCGATGCTGCAGCTGTTCAATAATGCATCACGCGTTCCTGCGCCGGCTGCAGGCTGGCGATGCTGAGCTGGTCAAAAAGCTTCTGTGGAGTAACTTACCTGCTGCCGCTGACTAACAACTACTGTAATCAACTTTACGTGCTTTTCCAGCCAACTAATCAATGTTTGCCTTCTTCTCGCTTTCTAACACACCTCCATCATCTTCTCTCGCTTCTGCTTTGCATCGTCTCTTCCATCAAACTTCCCCGATCAACACTCGGCTTCCCCAAGGCGGCGCAGGCCTTCCTGGGCTTCCAACGCTACAAGCTGGGGTCCGACTCGGCCCTATTCTCGCAGGAGTACACGGACCCCAGCCAGGATGCGGCGGCCGGCAGTGGACCCTACACCTCCTTCGGTGGAGACGACCTGGAGAGCCCACCGGGCGGAGGTGGAGGAGGAGGAGGCGGCGGCGGAAGGCAGGGCGGAGACAGCGTTTTTGACGGCAACGCCGGCTACCAGCGTCAGGACTACTGAGGGATTGCAGAGGTAGACGGGAAATAGGATCACTTTAGTGGAGAGAGCAGGAGGTCTTCTCTTACTCACTTTCAGTTTAAATAAAGTACAATCGGAACTTTGAAGTCCAAAACAATCACTGGTAGGTTTTCATTTGATTGGGATTTAGAAAGTAATAGTATCTGGATCAGTTTGTGTTCACATTGCGAACCGGTTCAAAAGAGAATTGTGCTTTTTTTTTTTTTTTGTGAGTCATTTAAGGTCTGATGGGGCATCAGTTCAGTCCAGTAGAAGTACATGGTAAAGTTAATCTGGGCTTTGTTTGTGTTCACATTGCAAACTGGTTTTAAAAAGAGGATCATGGTATATTTTCTGATTCATTTCAGGTGTAAGCACGCCTTAAATCAATCCTGGTTAGGAGGATCTTACATTTTTCCCCCCTGTTCCATTTCAGTTCTGACTGGGCCTCAAGTCAATCCAATGAAGACATTTTAAATTTGGCATATTTCAACCGGCTTGTGTTCACACATCAGTTTGATTCGAAATTGAATCCAGTTCTTTTTCAGATCATATGGGGATTTGAATCAATGCAATGAAAAATGTGTTCGCATGGCAAATTAGTTTGAAAGACAATTGAGTCCTTTTTGCTCGTCATTTAAGGTCTGATGTAGTCTCGAGTGGTCCAGATTCAAATTGACAATGATTGCCATTGGATTGACTTGATCAGTTACTTTTTCTGCTGTTTCACCTTTTATTTCACTGCAAGCTCACTAATTTTACACCTTACTTAACTCACTCAACACCCACTGACTTAAACGTAAACAGCCTAAGTATGAAACTGCATTGCTGCATTTTAAACTAAATATATCAATAGTGTACATAAACGGTTCGGTATATGAGTGTTTCAAATGATTCTTTACTTGAGGGCGTTCCGGTACCAGGAAAGTAAAAAGACAAAAGAAGGAATATTAACTATGTTTTTGGTGATCTGTATGCCTCAACCTTTTCTGTTGCGTGAGGAGATATTTTTATTTTGGGATAATAATAATGAGAGTAAAAATACGTGACCAAGCTTTCAAAGTACAGTATATGCACATACCTATGTTTACTTTATACCGTGCAAGTGTGTAGACGTAGACATGCGTGATGTTGCCTGTCGAATATGTTAAAACCGGAAGAGTTCTCTATTTGAATAGGTATACATGTATGTTTTGGATGTTGTTGCTTCCAGCCGACGAGAATAAAAGCAGAAGAAAAGCTGGTGTGTGATATCTTTTTGTTGTTATTATTGTCGTATGTGTTATATGGAACTTCAACACTACTGCGCATCAGTTTTCAATTTATTTGGAAGAAATGTACCAATCTCTCTAGCATTCTGAGACTTGTCTTGACATAAAAAGTTACATTGATTATTTTATTAGAGCTGCAGAGGTATTACAATTCTCACTACATCCATGCGATGGCATAACTGGCCAAAAATGCCGACTCAACCCAGAAGTGCCGTTTATTTTTGTCTGTTTTTAAAAAAATATTTGCCTTATTTCAAATCGCAAATTTCGTGACACTACAGTAAAATAATGAATAAATAAGGAGAAATAGCATCTGCGCGTGAAATCGCATTTTTATGTATAAAACGCCCAACTTGCTCTGCTGGTTTAACCTTTAAGAGCTATCGGAAATTATACTTTGTCATCGCCAATTATTCATGCATCGTAGTAAAACTTAACGAGACGAATTCGAAAACACTCATCAATATTTTTTTAACAGGTTATTTAAAATTACTCATCTTAGTACTGACCCAATGTTAAATATTCTTTGGAAAAATCCCAGTGGTGACTCTGCAAACAGGCATCGTGAGGTGTACCTGAACGCAACCGGGCAACTTCCAACATGGCGGCTCAACGGAGGAATTTGATGCAGAGTGTAAGTACAAACTTCGTCCCTCCTCCACGTCTTTGGCGTATAAAACTCAAAGGTTACTGCCTTGGATTGAAATATAATACCCGTCTTGGTTGGTTTTATTTTTCTTTTGCACATTTTCGTGTGTTTGTGTGTACTTCTGTGACGTTCGCTTGCGCTAGCTAGCTGTGTGGCTAACATACAAGCTCCACTCCCAGACGATTAATGGTGAAAAAAAGCATGATAAAATTCTTTATACGGCATTGTTCAAAAGCTACAATGCGTCTGACTTGATACACAAAATAACTGAGAAGATGAGAACATAAATACAAGTTTTGGTTCCTTATTTAGGCTACACAAGAGGGTCTTAATAGGAGGATATCTCAATGGGATGCTGACTTCTTTTGTAGCATCAGAGTTGGACCGACGACCTTCCTCTGTGCCAACTCTGCGGAGTTGGCACCGCACCAAACTGCGTGTATGGCCCCGATGGGAAAGGCACGCAGAGCCACCCCAATGAGGACACACACCTTCGCTTCAGGTAAGAGAATCAGGATTGTATCGTAGATCCAGGTGGGGGTGGGGGGTGCTGAAAGTAAACTGAAGCCTCTTTCAAGCAACACTGTCAGCCCAAAGTGCTCCAAATACATCTTGCGCTCTTCTTTCCAGGAGTGAGGATGGCTGCTCCCTCTACGGCGTCTTCAACGGCTACGACGGCAGCCGAGTGGCCAGCTTCGCTTCGCAGTGTCTTACGGCCGAACTCCTGCTGGAGCAGCTCAGTGCCGACCACACGGACACTGATATCCGCAGGATCCTCACGCAGGTCGGTGTGATACCACATACATGGGTAGGAAATTTATAACCCGGATAGGAAATAAAACGGCAGCACCTACGCGGGCGGGGGCACGGCAATTTCAGTGCGGAAGTTTCATGTTGTAAATTTGCACAATCTTTTGTGGCCATTGTTTGTTAATCTGTGTGCGGGAGCTCTCCCCTTGCTCCTTCCCGATTGGTGGCTCTCGTCCCGAACTCAGCCGACCAGTCAGTGCAAGGGATTGTGACCCGATTAGTCATTGATTTCAGGGCTGCCACCACCTGCACTGTTTAGGCACCACTATTCAAAGAGGTCTTTGTTGCTTTCAGAGTTGTGTTGTGTATGACTCCACTTAGAAATGTAGTGTTGTGCGTGTCTGTCTCTGTTGTGGCAATCAAGGTGTTATTGCTCCGCGTTTATTCACTCAAACTTCCACACCTGTTGGACCTTTCCTCTGCTGCCACTACGAGAACGGGCCGGAACAGTTCTCAATCAATAAATGAATTCTTTCAAGCCTGTTGAGGGCGTGTCTTAAATGAGCTGCTTTTTCCTTGCCGCGTCGACTCGGTGTGGGGCGTTTATAAGTCTGAAGCTTTTAAAGTGTGAATGAGAAAATGAAATCACTCTAAAACATTGAATTGTGGGCAAACATACTTTTATTTAGCTGATGCAAATAGTCGATGGCCATCCCCAATCGATTGTCTGTTGCCAAAACAATGTGTGTTGTTTGTGCAGGCATTTGAAGCGGTGGAGAAAAGCTACTTGCACACCATCGACGACGCTCTGGCAGAGAAAGCTAACCTGTCTGGCTACATGCTACCGCATAGCGAGGTGTGTGTACCAAGGTTGTTATAGTTCATGAAAGCTAACAAAATCGTGACAACTATAAACATTTTAATGAACAAAATTGCTTAAAAAAAGAAAACAAACTGAAAGTACATCTTAGATTAATTTTCAAAATGATAGAATTATTAATTCTTTTGTTTTCATTTTTTGTCAATCAATATCATGCATGAGCTTAAGATGTTCATTTTAAATGTATTTCAATATTGCTCGACAGTGCGTCTGTGCAGAAGGAAGGTTGGGCAGTCATTTGACAATCGTAGTTCACTTTATTACACAATACGTAGTGACTTTGTTTTTTGTTTTTTTGTGTGTGTTTGTTTATCTTGCACCCTGCAAATATTCCATACAATAAAATCAAATTAAGCATTTTCCCCAAAATAAAAAAACGGCTCCAAAAACTATTTAAAACTGAATGGGAAAAAAAACCCTCCAAACGAGATAAAAACTATTGTGAAAAATGTTAACATTTTCCCCAAAATAAAAAAACGGTTACAAAAACTATTTAAAACTAACTGAATGGGAAAAAAAAAACCTCCAAACGAGACAAAAACTATCGTGAAAATTTTTAAATTATTATAACACTGGTGTGGATACGCACACAAATTAAATCACCCTGTCTGACATAAAACTTTTGCTTTGGCGGCTTCTTCGTCCAAAGGAATAAGGTTGAAGTGAAGGGAGGAGCTTCATTTCAACAGGCCGTTGTCCGATAAAAGCGTTGACATTCAAGGCACTAGTCATCCCTTTCTATACCGCAGCTTACTTATTGTGGCTTCAGTGCATCACACAATTTATTTTATTTTTGGTGTACGTTAAAACCCTTACAGTTACTTGGCTGCATGTCTTGTGAGCTCATTGAATAGCGCCTTTCATTGCTAGTTAGACCGATAAAAAATCCCTTCGGAGGTGGTTTCAATCGAGGGAAGATGGAGGCAGCCGCTGGTGCGTTTTTAAATCACTTTAACCGACGCAAAATGCAATCCTTCAAAGCACGTTCTTGGCTCGTCTGCTACGAGCCTCAGCTGACGCCGTCGCTGTACACCGCAGCGGCAAACCCTCTAGCCAGGAACTCGTCGGACCACACTATCTCCACCTCCACATCCGAGTAGGCCTGCCTTTTAAAGGCTTTCCGATGGGCTTAACTCGATTTACGTTCATACTTTTGTTTGTGTACTTGATTCCTGAACGCTCTCTTTTTTTTTTTTTCTTCTCAATCGGGCCTCCAGAAGGTGCAGGAGCGCTTGAAGGAGTTGGAGCAGGAGGTGTCGGGAGGAGCCATGGCTATCGTGGCGCTCATCCTCAACAACAAACTCTACATCGCCAACGTTGGTACGTAACGAGCGCGGAAAAACACACGAGTTGGGGGAGCTTTGGCCGTGAGCTCGCCGTTTGACTTTTCCACCAGCAGGTGTCGTGCTTGCACCACGTTTGCCATCAGCTCAATGATCTGAAATTGAACAGCCTTGCTCCTTACCCGAGCATGAAATGGACATTATTCTTTTAAACAATTATTTTAATTATCCGTAAAAATGGTCCTTAATCATTAAGTCTCTTGTTCAAATGTGTTTAAAAAAAGCCAGACACAAAACTAACATTTACAAATGTTCTTTGAAGGTAGCATCAGTGTAAAATTCTTAGTTTTAATGTCCATGATTTGAAACAGACCCCGTGTGTCGTTTTATCCCATTTGGCCATCAGGTGAGTTGTTGACTGTTGTGTTCTGGCCGGGTTCATACTGATATCAATGCTATACTGTGTTGACGCTGCACCTAATATGACCGTTACAGTTGTACATGTCCCGACATGCTTTAAATACATTTGCATGTGTTAAAGCACTGCTATTTCTAAAAAGGCACCTTTTTTTTTTAAAAGACTCCTGAGCCTTTGTTCTCCCTCTCACTGTCAAGAAACAGGAGATTATAACATCACCTTGAGGAAAGGAAAAGAAGTTGTTTGCACAGTTGTCCAAATAAGAGGAACAATGTTCTTGCTTCTAGCTGTTTATTTGTCACGGACACATGAAACAAAAGTCAATTCAATTCAGGGTGGCTTCACTGGACATAAACATTTGCGTGTCTGATTTGCCGGCTTATGCTTAAGTTTGACCTTAAACAGCCAAGTCAATCTTTCGTTCACTGCCTATTTCCGAAAATGTTTATTGGTCTGTCATAGTGGCGTAGAGTTATCTGGAATTCAATTCACGTTTCTCAGGGACCAACCGGGCTCTGCTGTGCAAAACCACCAGCGACGGCCAGAACCAGTTTTTCCAGCTGGGCCGACCTCACAGCACCGATAATGACGACGAGCTGCAGAGACTTGCTGCGCTGGGTGAGGTCAACTTTAAATCTTGCCGTTGTTTGCATGCAAATTTTTGCGATTTTCCAACATTGAAGTGCAGAGTTCATGTTCAAGCCGTGCCGGCTACCACAGCCGCGCGACGACGACGGCGAGCATTTATTTACTTATTAAAAGCCGACTAAAAAAGAGCAATACGCTCTGTTTGGAATGTCATCGCAGTGAACCGTCTCAGACGCTTATTTTCAAGTGATCTATCAAAGTGATTTACATTGATCAGCAATCATTCCATGCCTGCCCTTTTTTTCCCCAGGATTGGATTCGGCCCGCGTGAGGCAGGCGGGTCAGATCGCTGGGCAGAGCAGCACCAGGAGGCTTGGAGACTACCGGGTCAAAATTAACTACAATGATATCGACCTGCTCAGGTAGATGAACGGACCTACCAAACACACTGCAAAGCTTATTTTAGGCATGCTCCTAATCATCGACTTAATTGCTGAGCCTGTTTGAACGGAATTTCGAACCAAAACCGTGGCACCCCTTGAGGTGCTTACAGTACCTCGTAAGAATTTGTGTCCCGGGGATCTTTTGCACCATTCACTTTCTTGCTCCGTTGAATGAACGTAGGTGGAATTGACTTAAGTCTTAAAATTAGACAGCGCATTGCCTTGCCTTCCACAAATATACACGCAGATCATTTATCATCAGATCCCTTTAAATTATCTCAAAATGGCAACTTTACAAAAAAAAAAAGGCGTCTCACTTCTTTAAATTTGGCTGAAATGGCAAAGCTCCAACCAAAGATGAAAGAAGCTGGATTGAACAACAGTAAGTCCGCAGGATGGGATGTACAAGGGCCGCTGGGACCAAGTGCCATCACCTGTGTCTTCTTTTCATAGAAAATTAATTTTAATTCAATGCCATCCATCCGGGTCTTGCCTGATTTCCTCTAGACGTGCAAAACGGAGCAGATACGTTGAGAGCAGCAGAGGACCCTAAATTGAGCCCTGTGGAACTCCACACGAGAGTGGGGCAGAAAAGAATAATTGTTCTCTATTCATCTGAGTTTAAGTGAGATTAAAGTGGCCAAATTGTCATCTCACTTCCTTAAATTAACTTCAATTGTCAAAGCTAAATACAGAAAACATTTACTCCTTGGAGGAGAGTCTTTGAGTATTGAAAATCATTTCTTGTCATTTTTTGATGTCATAATTTCTCTTCACAAATGCACACTTTTGATACCGTTTCCATTTGCTTTTTTTTTTTTTTTTTTTTTTTTGCGGGACTCCAGCGCGGCCAAAACGAGGCCCATCATAGCCGAGCCAGAAATACTCGGTAGCCAGTCGCTGGATAGCGTTACGGGCTTTCTGCTGCTCATGTCTGAAGGACTCATCGACGCCCTGGAGTGCGCGCACGGGCCCGAACATGTCAACAAGGTCGATGGCAACACTGCACGCACACACCTCTCAAAATGATTCTCTTGCTTCCTTATGACACGGAAAATTAATCAATTGCACTCTTGACGCCTTTGTTTTCCAACTTCAGCCCGCTAAGCCAGTTTTGCTTAGCAACATGAAGTTGGGTACATACAGTATGTCTATCATGAAAACAACCACACAAAAAAATCTCAAGACATCATGCCCAGGGGAGGAGGAAAAAAATCCACCACAAAATTCTGCCATTTTGGCCTTTATTTTCAACCTCCATACCTTATTTACTTTTGGAACCTGTAGCCACAGCGTAGTCTTCTACTGCAGCTTTCACTGCACGCCCATATGCTGTTTTCCTAACACTATTGTCACTAAATAATACTGCAATCACATATGGATGCGCCGGTTTTAGAAAGGGCAGCTCATCCTGTGAAGGAAGAGCTGACACTGATTGATAACCCGATAGCTTCTTATCTCACTGGGTGGTCGCCTGACTTCCTGATCCCACGGGAGATGGCGGTACGACCCAGCGCTGATGTTTATCCTCCAATGGAGTGTTTGTACTTTTTACTTGTTATAGTCAAAACTACAAGACAAGTTTACTGTATTGGAATTCCATTTGGACACATCACCTATAAACATGACAAGAACTGGGAAGAAGCAATTCCATTGCGGCTCCTTTTTCCCAATGAGCCTGCAAACCTCAAATTTGGTAGACATGAGTGGACCCACAAAAAAAAAAAAAGTCTCCTCAAGACAGCGAGAGTGCTCCTTTGGGCTCATTTTGCCATTCAAGGCGTCCTTCGATGTTTGCCACATTGCTATGAGTAGAGAATGGCCAAAACGGTAAAAAGGTTGCGAGCGCCTGTTGGAATTTCTTTCAAATTAAGCCCTCAAAGCAATAAAGATGATTATGATTCTGAAATGTTCCTTTTAACAACCGCAAATTTGGTAGACGTGCCCATCGTGAGGAGATGCAAAAAGGCCATTGGCAGTTTTGCTTAGGAGTGGCCATTTTCGGGTCAGTTTTGCCATTCCCAGAGGCGCCAGAGTTTGGATGACTCACCACAACACGAGACCAACTCCAAATGACCCGCCCGACATGCCGACGTGACCCGCGCTCCTGTGCCATCCTAGGAAATCGTTGCCATGGTGGCGGCCGAGCTGGCGCAGCAGAGCACGCTGGAGGCGGCCGCCCAGTCTGTGGTGGACCGCGTCAAACGGCTGCACCACGACGTCTACACGTCGGGCCGCCAGAGGGCCACCTTCTGCTCCCGTCACGAGGACATGACCCTGCTCATTCGTACGCTCAACTACCCGCTGGCGGACGGCGCCCAAACGCCCACGCAAGGTGCTTTGCTTGTTCGAGAGACTCAAGTTGAGAGAGAGTCCTCATCGCCAGGGTTCTTTTATTGAGGAGAAGAAAAAAAAATCCTGTCTCTGAAATTCAGCTTTTGTGCAGCACTGCGCTGACAAACATCTGCCTGTCGATGGCGGTGTTGCTGTGGATTAGAGATCAGAACTGCTTTTGAATAGAAGATAAAGATTTTGGCGGTGTCTCTCGGTTTGTCCCGTCGAGTATAAGGGAGACAAATGGCGACACGTTGAAAGTCCGACAAGTTTGGGCACCTCAAGTCTGAAATCAACATCCGAGTGCCAATGAAAATAAAACCAGACGGTGTGTCGTCCGAGGAGCAGAAATACAAGTCTTAACAAGGTTGAATTTTGTATTTGCGCTTCCCCGCTGAGTTGGGCCCTCTTGGAAGTTTTGGGCCAAGCGAAATGTGTTGTTCTTTTGGACGTCCCTTCTAACCATTTTCCTCCTGGTTTGGGGCTTGCAGGCGGCCGCATCTACCCGGTGTCGGTGCCCTACTCCAACAGCCAGAGCACCAGTAAAACCAGCGTCACCCTCTCGCTGGTTATGCCCTCGCAGAGCACCCTGACCAACGGGACCGCCGCGGCCTCCACCCTGGAGGAGGGCACCCCCACGCCCGGGTAAGCTCGCTCGCTCGCCCCCTGACCCCTCCCTTGTCACTTTCCGCAACGGAGGGCCGAACGAGTCATCGCGGTTGTGATATCATTACGATTTTTGTGATAGAACGCAATTTGCGGCGATGTAGAGCGTCATCCGGAGCGAGCAAGTGGCGGCTGATAGACCCGCCATGTGTTAGGCTGTTGTCGGTCATAATGGTGAATTCATTGCTTGTTTGGTGAAAAATAGAACATTTGAATCGAAAAGACCTTGGAGGGGGGGAAAAAAATCGCATTTCCGTGATTTTCCAAAATGGTTTAGCCTTAGTGTAACGGTATCTTGACTTCGAAATAGGGTTGAACAATTCAAATCATCGCTCATGTCAGTATTGAGCAAGGGGGGGAAAAAGCATTTTGGTTCTATTTCAAAATGGTTCAGCTTTTTTTTTTTTTTTTTCCTCCAGCTATCACGCTAGCTACAACATTCCATTCCGTCGGTATTTTGAGACGTTTTCATCACAGAGTACAAAAATAGTCCGTCCACTGCTTTTCTCCTGATTTGAGTTGATTTAACATCCAAGCACGGCCACGGAAGAAGTTGAACTGACAGTGAAGGCAGCGCTGTACTTTGCTGCTTTTATTCCCTCCGGTGTTTGTTTTGACTGGAGCAGCAACATTTTTCCGGGCTTCCTGTGTGAGAGCCCTCCCCCTGCTGCTCATTTAGATAAGTAAGATCGCACCCCCCCCCCTTTTTTTTTCTGTATTTATTTTGGGTCAGCCTTTTGCTTCCCGGTGTTCCTCCGCCGCTTTGCTTGTTTTTACTCGGCGAGCTTTCATTTCTTCTTTTGCTTGACGGCCGGAGAAAGACTCGAGTCGAGCTGCTGGTACAATTTTGCATCAAACAAAACGTAAATAAACGGCGGTGACGACTTCTGGACAGCTCAAGCCAGAATGTTTTCAGGAGTCTTGAGAAAATTCTTGACAAGTGTAACAGTTATAAAAGGCATGAAATCAGGTCATGTGGGTCACTTCCTTCCGGCTTGTGCTTTACTCCGACAATATTACAACATTCATTTTAGTTTGTGAAGTTTTGTCATCAAAAACAAATTTTAAAATTATTTCTTCATTTGAATGCAACGTTTTGCATTTCTCACTGCTAAATTTCAACTTTAATTTTTTTCTTGAAAAAAAAAGAAAATATGAAAAATGTTCTTGTAATATGACTAGATTCCTTGCTAAATTTAGATTTTTTTTTTTCAATTAAAAAGATTGACTCCTCGAAAGGCAGCTTGTAATCTTACTGATCCAAAGCCTAAAAATGCACAAATTTTTTTTCTGACAAGATAATGTTGTGTCGTGAATGAGATTTGTTGTTTCAAGACAATACAACTTTATCTGCTTGGAAATAAACATTTTAGCTTCTAGCCTGCTTATTTTTCGGGAAAAATCATATTACTCTGCTTAATAACTCCATTTTTTTTTCTCCAAACAAGTTCGAATGTATTACTTAAACATTAGGATTATCTTCACTGAAAATATAAACCCTTTTTGTTTTTTTACTTCTCACAATTTGTTTTATCTTAAAAAAAACAAAGCCATTCCTTTCATGACATCCTGACTTTTTTCGAGTATATGCGTTTTTTTTTACCCCCCCCAAAATATGGCTATTAAAAAAAAAAAGCATAAAAATGGAACACATCAAAATAAACTCATTTTTTTACTGAACTTTAGTATAATAAATGACCAGAAAAGATCATTTGAAATACAACGCACCTTGGTCCTACTTTTGTAAATAAATGGATGGAAGCAATGTAACTTTCCGTCGCGTTGATCTCGGCCATCCAAGGTAGAGGCAATCACTCCCTCTTCCTCACCCTAATTTTTCCTCCTCCTCCTCCTCCACGCCGGCCCTGCCGCGTCCTTGACTGCGCCGCCGCCTTCGAACGGAACCCCGACCTGTACCCCCGCCCTTCCCACCGTCGTCCCCTCTCCAGTAGCCAGAGCCCCACGGCCACCCTGCAGTCCACCAACACGCAGACGCAGAGCTCCAGCTCCAGCTCAGGTGACGGCAGCCTGTTCCGCCAGCGGGGGAGCCAGGCGGCGCAGCCCGACGAGACGGGACGCGTCCCGCCCTACGTGGACTTCACGCAGTTCTACCGCCTGTGGGGCGGCGAACACGGCGACGGACAGATCGCTCGGGGCGGCCTTGGACCCGAGTGAGACTGACGTGGCGGAGGCCCTTATTCGTCTTTTCCACTAAAGTCAGACATCGGGACCAAATGACCAGGAAGCCTTTTGGACTTTGGGATCCTCGCCGCTCGGAATTTGGCTGCCCGTGCTCGGATGCCGTCGTGAACACGTCCAAACACTTTGCTCCCGTGCTCGCCGGAACCTAAAAATGTGGAAGGACTTGCCCTGCCGGCCAAGACTTTGAGGGTTCAGAAAGGATATAACTTGTCCCTTCATTAGGTACACCCCCGAAAGAACTTCAACTGCATTATCAGGAACGTATTTTTATTCACCTAAATTACAACTTTTAAAAAAGCGCTTTTATTTTCTCCTTTAAAAGCTGACTTCATGTGCAACTTTCAAATCGCTTAGAACATAACTGCCTAACTTCATTTTGGGGGGTGCAAAGTCAGATTTTTGCAAGAAATTACAGAAATGAGGAACTGTCACTGTGGAGTCAACATTTTTGTTCCAACATATTTGTAAGCTAAAAATGCAAACAACTTAGCCTCTTTGCTTAGCAATTTAACCCATAATGCCACAGTGTTTGACTTGCCCAAGTAAAAAAAAAAAAAAAGTCTCTTTGGTTAACTCCGTCAAATGTGCGGGGTTTTTTGTTTTTAATTTATTGCTTATTCTTGGCAACCAAAAACTGGTAGCCAGCCCATCGCAGGGCACCCATTGACGAACAACCACCCGCGCTCACACCTCGGGACAATCCAGAGTATTCCGTTAACCTGCCGTGAATGTTTTTGGAATGTGGGAGGAAATCGGAGTACCCGGAGAAAACCCACGCAGGCACGGGGAGAACATGCAAACTCCACACAGGAAGGCCGCAGCCGGAATCGAACCCTCACCTCTGCCGACGTGCTTACCAGTCGACCACCGTGTGTGTGTGTGTGTGTGTGTGTGTGTGTGTGTGTGTGTGTGTGTGTGTGTGTGTCGAGAGAGTGAGAGCGAGCGACCTCGGAATGAACCTTCCGAGCAGGTACGTGCATGTATCACACAAGTCGCAACACTTGCAGTTCTCTGGTGCTCGTGTCAAAATGAAAGCTTCAAAATAAATCGATATGTGAACGAACCAGAACTTTTGCCAGACAGGCGGAACAATCCCACCGGCTTGGTTTGGCCCGCCTGAGGGCCCGGTTCTGACCCGCTGCCGGTTTAGGACATCGATGTCAGAGGGCGCGTGTGCCTCGTGTTGTCACAAGTGCGTAATCTCTCATCTCTTGTGGATGGCTTTGAATTCAGACCTCCTGGACTTGTTTTGAAATCTCATGAATGTGCTCAATGTACTGTTTTATTTTTTTAATTCAACAATAAAGATGCGTATGTCGAGTACATTCCATCTGTGCCACAATACTTTTGGTTTGAAATGGACAATTGGCGAGGATTCCTTGCCAGAGTCGCTCCTCTGAGATTTTGTCCACTTGCTCCAAAATTTGGATGGCGTGTGCTTGACAGATGGTCTCTGCTGAATTCCAAACCACTTGCGTCTTCGCCCTGCTGTGTGGGCGGAGCTTCGTGGCCAAACTTGATCAGTTGTTTTTTTCTACCGTGATGAAAGAATTACATTTTGCGTGTAAATTCAGACCCCGGAGCCAGTTTGCCTTCTTGATGTCAACTTTGGTCGGCTTGTCTATCAAGAGTAGACCCACAAAAACTCAGCCATTTTGGTGAGCAGTGGGGATTTTAGCCTCATTTTGGCCATTTTCTTGAAACATTAACTTTCACCAGTGTGTCCGAGAAAGCAACATTTGCTTCGCGTGACCCGCAAAAAAGAAGCCGTGCCTGCAAAGACACAGGAGTCTCTCATTTTGGTTCTCAAGTGCTCATCTTAGGCTCATTTTGGACATCCCCCCCCCCCCCAAGGGCTCCGTTAAAGGCCGACTCCCGAAAGATTTTCTCCTTCTTGTTAACCGATTATTGCTCTTGATGGAAGTGCAGGATCTCCTGACAACTTGGTTTGAAGCGTCAGCTATTCTTGCTGTCCCGCTTCCTGTTTTCCAGCGGCACAGTCAGGAAGTGGAAGGGGGGGCGGGGGGGAGACGCGGCAATCTGGATAAGAAAAAGAACATTGCGCAAGCTGGCCATTTGAAACACACTCAACTGCTTCTTCATCCCCAGCGAGAAATACTTTAACAGATTTTTTTTTTGTTTTACTTCAGCAATAATGGTGGGAAAAAAAAAACATGAAGTATCTTGACACCATTATGACCGACTGGCTTATGTGATTAGGGTAAAAAAAGGAAAGAAAGAAAGGCAACATTAGTAATAATAATACTCATGTTTCACAACAGTCGCTATTCAGCGGCCGTGGCTGCTGTTGTGCTCAGAGGCCACGCATGTTGCTAATTGCTCCGCTTCGATGTAATTGGCGTTTTCTTTCCACTCAGGCCATAACCCAATTCTCCAAAAGTGGCTTTAATTAGCGTAATTGCCGCCGGAGGGGGCGAATGGAGAGATGTTTAAAAAGTCCGAGGGGGATTTGTAAAGAGGAGGTCAAGTTGCAGTTACGGCCCTCGGTCGGGCTTCCCGCTTTCAAGTTTGATTGCGCTCGTTAGTTTGGAACTGCTGTTGGCTCGTGGCTTGATGTAAGACAGAATCCATCATCGGGAGCGCACCTTTTGCAGTGGTTTTTGATTTTGCCCGATGAGCTCTAAAAAACGCTCGGGTGGATACGCTCCATAACATGTCCGTTTTTGGCAAATTTGAACCAAGTTTTGGAAGTGCGGGTTGATTGATTCGGCATTCATACGCAAAACTGACAACTGCAATCGGGCGCCTCAAAAATGGAGCCCCCGCAGTCTGTTTCACTCCAATTTGACAGATATGTCTCTCATGAGTGGACACATTAAAAAAAAAAAATAATTTAAAAAGCCTTCATGAAACGGTTCCTGAAGTGACATGTGAGGCCTGCCGTTTTGGTGCAAAGCACATTTTTGGGTTCCTTTTGGCCATTCAATTCAATGACAAACTTGGCCAACCTAGATTGTCCAAGAAAGACTGAAGCCGGTTTCTTTTCGCAACCTACATTTTAGTAGGTCTCTGTCTTTTTTGTTGGCCCACAAAAATCTCAAGAAGACATGCTCAAAATCCACAGGAAGTTTGCCTCGGGGGTGTGGGGGGGGGGGTTATTTGTTTGTTTTGTTTTGTAATTCTGGTCCCAAAGGCCGCTTCACTTCGCAACATGAAAAATCTATCCTGAGCAGAACCACAAAAAAAGGTGCAAGAAACCGCACCGGAAAGTGCACAAGATGTCGGCCCTCTTGCTCTCAAGCCCTCCAAAATCGGACTCAGTTAAGTCTCAGTGACTTTTTTTGTTGTTGTTTGAATTGTAAATTTGCTTGGCAAAACCTTTTTTTTGGGGGGGCGGGGGGGGGTGGGGTTGCGGTCGAGTCTTTCTTTTCCAACTCGTGCAGCATTTGAAAGATCAACAGTAATTTGAATCTTTGCCATTTTTAAAGGATTGACATCAACTCAAATGGATCACAAAATCCAAAATATTGTGCCAATGGAAAGTGCATATGGGTTTTGGTGGCACATAATCACCGTTTCAAACACTCTGTAAAAACAGAGGGTTGCCCTTAAAATCACTGCAGATTCTTTTAGGGGGTGGGGGTGAATTTTAGTGCTGAGTTGCAGCCCACTCGAGTGTTCCTTTAGCCTACGCACGTTAAAAGATTTTTTTTTTTTTAATTTGAGGCTTGTTTTAACATGTACAAGTTTGAACGTTTAGTAATGGTTGTCTAGTTTTTACTTGCGCAAATTTGGTCATTGCTTATTCCCAAATATGTGCCCACTTTCAGATCTTCTGTCCATATAACAGATGAGACGGCAACACGAATCGATTTCAGCTTGTTCGGCGAGCCGAGACAAGTCTGGCTTGCATCTCTCTCTCTCTCTCTCTCTCTCTCTCTCTCTCTCTCTCTCTCTCTCTCTCTCTCTCTCTCTCTCTCTCTCTCTCTCTCTCTCTCACACACACACACACACACAATTATGTATTCCTCCCACATGACCATGTCATTGCGTTTTTCACCTGACAATCACTCTTCAACTTGACGGAGAGGTGACCAATGTGTGGGACGGCACGCCTCTCGGTTACAATTCAACAGAAGTTGGCACACCCGCTGTGCAGGTGTGTTATCTATTCATTTTGGCTACAAGCTCCCATATAGGGAGTGTTCGAGAGTGCAAACAAATCGCACACTCACGCGCACACGTCTCTTCCTGTCTTTCACGGCAGCGCGAATTAGAGTCACCTGGGAGCCACGGCAAGTCGAGAAGGCGACGAGGCGTCGACCCGAAGGCGAGGCGGGTGCTCGGAGAGGTAAACCTTTTGGAGTATTTACTGGATGTGAAGGGCGGCATGTGCAGGCGTGACGAAGGTGACGACTGTCGCAAAGTGACGATGAGGTGTTGTCAAGAGGCGGTCGTTTTGTCGGCCAGAAGCGGTGGTGGGCAACCTGCAGATTGGGGCCCATGTACGGCCCACCGTGACATTTTAAAAACAAGTTTATAAAAAAAAAAGTTTCCCCACAAATGCCTACAGGATACAAATATAAGGCTGTTTGTTGTTCACTATATTGTTGTTTTTGTCAAATCAGCTAATCTGCACAAGCTTCTAAACAGAGACCATTTAGAGCAGGGGCGCCCAAGTCCGGTCCTCAAGAGCTCCTAGCCAGCCTGTGTTGGATATCTCCCTCTTCCAACACACCTGATTCAAACGATAAGGATCTTTATCAGGCTTCTCAGAGTTTGCTGATGAGCTTATCATTTCAATCGAGTGTGTTAGAAGAGGGGTGACACGTAAAACAGGCTGCGCAGGGACACTTGAGGACAGGACTTGGGCACGCCTGATTTGAAACACACCATTCACAGCAAGCCTCAATCGTATGGTATGTAAAGAAGACCAGAATTAGTGGGACCATCAATTGCTGTAAGGCGTCCAGGTCCTGTAGAGCAAAGCAGCCCCCGGACTCTGCCGCGGAAGTCATTTTTGCACAGTCCTTTGGTCACCGTTAGGTCATGAACACTGACCATACCGTAGGCGTGGGAGGCCTGCAGTTCTTTTGATGTTGTCCGAAGTTCTTTTGTGACTTCCTGGATGAGTCGACACCGCGCTTGTGAAAGATCAACCAGAGCTTTGGGGGAGGGGGACCGTATATCCGCGGTGTGGTGTTTTTGTCCCTCATTATTTTGCTGCATTGCACTTGCGGTTCAAATGATGATTGTCGTGTCGTGTTTTTCCTCCGTGGGTTCCTATAGTATTTGCTGTCGCGTGGTTGCTGATGGGATGTGCACGTGTTCACGATGACTCTTGTCAGCCGCCTGAAAGTAGAATCGTGCCATTGTCTGTTGCCAGCGGCGTTGCTGTTTGTCTTTGCATTTTTGTCCCGTTGCTTTTCTGGATTTTGCACGCTTGAATGTACCCCGACTTGCTCGGCCGTTTTTCGACATGTCACACCAGGAAGCGGTGACGCCAAACAGTCAGCAAAGTGTGTGTGTGTGTGTGTGTGTGTGGGGGGGGGGGATTGAATAAATTACCTGCTTTCATATATTCGAAAAGGAGTCGTAGGGCGTATAACGTGTTTGTTCCCGCGCCCGTATTTTGATTTCATCATTTGTTATATCGGCAGTATTCAGGGATATTCCTATCTGTACACTTTTGTGTATACTGCAGCATACACAAAATTCCAATTTACACGCTACCCTGTCTCAAAATCGTATTGAACTACCAGTGTGAAGTTCAACGTGTTACTGACTTATCGATAGTCATTCCTCCTCTTATTTCACTCAACAAGACACCTTAAATCTCTGTTTTTGTGTAAGACCGAACTACTTTTCTCGTATATGTCAGGGGCGATTCGAGGATGAGCAGTTCAAGGGCGCTGACAGTTTCAGAGCACATTCGAGAAGGAGGCATTCGGTCAGCGCGGTGGGCAGGGCTTCACCTGGCTCAAAAGAAAAAAAAAAAAGCAATCACCCTTTTTTTTCAAAATGTACTTTTGAACTGCTTTGACCTGACAACGTGAGCAACACACTCAACAATGCACGACAGGTGTTATGCATTTGAGCTCACGTTGTTTTGCTTCAGCGGTCGAGAGGTCAAAGGTTCTCTTGTGTATATTGCCGGCCGTGTTATTGCCGTGTTATTTGAACGGCAACAATTGGTCCAAGCGTACGTGCGTGCCTTTGCTTGACATGAGTGAGCTCGGGCAAAGTGTCACACGCTTTTGTTTTTTTTTTGGGGGGGGCGTCTTATAGTTGCTTTATGATCAGTTTTCATTGTCACTGGCCCTTTGACAATATGTTCGCTTGTCTTGAAAAATGCCTGACTTTTTTTTTTTGTCTGAGTGGTGGCGACACAGCACAAGACCACCACAAATGTTAGTGGATGCTACAAAACGGGGGGGGGGGGGCAAACTAGATGGAGCAGCAGAAATGGCCTCTGAAAGGGAGACAGAAATTTTGTCAAATCTGTTTCATTCTTTACAGTTGTCAGGTTTATCATATGATTTGACAAATATACACTTACAGAAAACAAGAGAGGAGACGTCTCTTTGCCTTTTTTTGTTGCGAGGAAAATTTAAAGGACAATTCTCTCAGCTGTCTGTCCTAAAACAGCCTCTCTCCCTATGCCCTCCCTTTTTATCTGCTCTTGATAAAGAGTTATATGAAGGTGAGGCCACTCAGGGGAGGTTTGGGGTATCAGCAAACTGGCCCCACCCTGACTTTCACTCCAAAGTACACGATATTGAAATTTTCATCACATCCTCAGCAAGTGCATAAGCCTGATAATCATTTTTTATACGTCAAAGCACTTTTGATACGTGAATTCAGCATATCTTGAGAAATGCAGAAGGGTCTACTCCCGTTGATTTCCTCTTATCTGGTCATCTCCTGGGCCCATGTTGAGTTGAGCACGTTTCAGTTCACGTTTCATAACCCTTAACACACATCAACACTTGCGAAGCAAACAATTCATCTCTATTCATACATTCTAAATAAAACCACTGCAATATAAAAGCAGAATCAAACATAAGAAATCATCCTTTCCCGAAATTCCTCCATCAACAGTCGACATCAATGTTGCCTCGCCGCATTTTTTCACGACAATGCTACAGAGTTACTATTTCATCACAAAAACATGTCCGTGTTTTTTTTGGGGTGGGTGGGGTTTTTTTTTTCACTTCAATGGTCAAAGTTGCTTTGTGAAACAGCAAGGTCAGGTCGCAAATCAACGCGCTCATCTGTCGATCGCGCTGCATTCCACCTTCTTCTTTGGTGCCTCCTGGGTCATAGACTCCGTCATTTAAGCCGCAGCAGTGGAGTTCAACATTCTCAAAATAGCACCGGGGTGCTCATATTGCCATCATGTGGTGGCTTCCCAGTGTGCGGTTGATGTACGATGTATATTAGTGGGGTAAGGGGCCTTTGAGGAGGCACGGGTGTCAATCTGGGGAGGGGGAGACTTTGCGGTGTAGCCCTCCCGCCAATGTCATTACATAATGGCATTTTTCCCCCCACTTTGTTTTGCGTTTGGGGCCGGGGGGGGTAGGGGGAGGTCCTTCCTAAGAATTACTGAGGGGTCAGATTTTGGTGGGACACCCCTGATCACAGAACAAATAAAATGAGACGTTCTTTTCCAAACCTCCTCCTCCTGTTTTTCATCAGCCAACCCCCTCTCATATTTCTGCACCCCTTCCGTCACCTCCGCCCCCCACCTCCATCCATGCAGCCCCCTCCAGCCCTCGCCGCGGCGGCGTGACTGGGGAAGGCGGAGCTCTTCCCCTCGCTGAGCTGCTGCTGCTGCCGCCGCCGCCGCCGCCTTCATTCGCCCTCCTTCTCCAACCCGCAGCCAAGATGGTCCGTTGCCACTGAAGAACAAGACGAGCCGGACTATTTTGGTGGTTTTTGCGACGGCGTGAGAAGGAAAGCAGGCGGGCCAAGGGGGACAGGCGTAGGCCGGGAAACACCCACCCGAATCGGGCCAAGAGGACGGCCGACATCGGCGATCGACACCCCCGCGAAGGCGCCCCCTCCGCCGCCGCCGCCGCCACGTCCCGCCACATCACTCCATCCTCGCGAATTAGGAGAGAAAGGATTATCGCCGCCGCCATCGACTCGAGAACATCGGAGGCCCGGACTTGGCGGCGCTCCTCCCCGGCCGCTGCAGGGTCCTCCCAGCCGGGGATGCGGCGCCTTGTGCGGGATCGAGTCGGACGGACAGCCGGGCTCTCGGCCGCAGTGGACCCATGAAAGACATCTGACACAGGCACAGATGGGTAAGAGGAGAAGGCGTGTGAGAGTGTGTGTGTGTGTGCGCGCGCGCGCTCTGGATGAAGTTGATCATTACAAGAAGCGCAGATGGCCTGCGCTGCTTTTCCATATACGATGACGCTCTTTTGACTGGAATGCTTCTGCTTTTCAGAGATGCCGTACAGTCGACCCCGCATACTCGCGGTTTGGGACCCGCGCGTTCACCTTTTCACGGTTTCATTTTATTTTTGTAGTTGTGGGGGGGGTTGGAGGTTTTTCCTTTTCCGAGAATTTCAGTATTGAACATGGGCATCAGTTCGATGCAGATTTTTACCATTCGCAGTCCATCCCGGTCCCAATCTCGGGAAAAGGCACCTGAATCGTGGCCAGTGGCAGAGCTAGACTATTCACCTTGGGGGCGTGGGGGTGGCCAAGGCCATCTCAGGGGGCTGCAAAACAACCACTTGAAAGCACGTCAACAATCAATATCCATTTTTATATTTAAATTTGCGCTCACACATACACTTTGGCAGAACCAGTTAAACATTAACAGACAAAACATTTTCCAATAGGTACAATGTAAATAATAATCATTTGCAGTCACACGGTGTTGTCAAATCTCCTCTTTCAGCCCCCCCAAAAAATGTCAGGGAAAATAGGCCAATGTAGATGATTAATTTAATCATCTACATATTTTTTTCAGTCTTTTCAAATTCTCAAATCTGCACTGCAGCAAAACAAATAGTTTCTTGACCGTAGTAAAATGTAAAAACTATTTCAAGTCTTTCCTGGCAAAGCTGCTGGAACAAAGCATGAAAAGTGGGCAAAATGGCGAACCTTTCTTTACTGGCACACATATGTAAAAAGATGCGAAATATGTTTAATGTTTTTTTTAAAAATGGCTTTTTTCCTCCTTTTGTTAAATGTTGTTTTCTGTCTCAACTCGTCATCAATCCAAATTTAAAATGAAATTTTACATGAATAATATAACCATTTCTAAAAAGTTGTCATTGTTTTAACATCCTGTACTGGCATGCACATATGCGATTCAGTTAATCGCTTCTGTAAAAACAATGAAATTGTTGTACTCTTTATTTTCATAATTTCCTATCTTTCAAGTGTAAAAATAAGTTAACCACTGATAATAGGTCAAATGTCTTGTTTTTTTCCTCATTGTCTGAATGCCAAAGTAATTCAGGCTGATTCTACACCTAAAACGTTTGTAATTATCCTCCACTTTCCCCTTTTTTTCCAAGCCATTCTGACTTCAACACATTCCAAAAATGTACACCGGATTTTGTGTAAACATCGAGATAAGCTGCTGCGCTAATGTTGCCATATTTGCAAAATTCCGACTTTGATGCCATGCCCGCATAACTTACCTCGCTACCGACACATCACGGCAAAAACAGGAATCATACATACAGTGGTTATGGAAAGTCTACACACCCCACTTAAAGCGTCCATTTTGCAGTGTTGATAAATCTCTCTCACAAATAATGTGATGTAATACATGTGATCTTTAATCTGTGCAACGCAATTGCCAATTGCTTTAAAAAAGAAAAAAAAATCCTTCCAAGAGGGCAGATAAAAGTTAAGAAGTGATTTCTAAATTGAGACATTGCAGTCAAGAGTATCCGGGTTTGAATCTCACTTGTGCGTACTCCCCCCCCACCCCAAGCTTGACCGGGTGGTTGTTGTGGCAAGAATGAAAAAAAAAAACACAAGTTCTTTCTCATACATATGCTGCACCTAAAAAATTCCAACTCAGTTGGGCTGCTGCGCGAAAAGAGAATAAATCATTCCAAATCAATGAGGTTGTTGCACCGAAGAACAAAAAGCAATCAAGCTGTTGTACTGAATGAAAAAAATGCTACAAAACCAAAAATCACAGCAAACTAATACGGCTCTTGCACAAAAAGGGCCATAAGCCTTCAACATCAATTGAACGGTTGCAACAACAACAAAAATAGATTCGGAAGAAAATCAATGAGATTGTTTGTCAAAAAGAACCCCAAAAAAAAAATCTAAAATAAATGAGTCAAAGAATAATGAATGCCACTGTGTAAACCCGCCCCAAAAAATAAATAAAAGTAAAAGGAATAATTGCTCAGAAAAAAAAAGCAGGCGGACAATTGCAAAATGACAGAGTAAAAAAAAAAAAATGGATGTTGAAAATACTTTAAAAGCGTCCGCCTCGCTATGGCCTGGATTGGACGCCAGCCGACCAATCATTTTGACAATGCTACGCTAACAGCCCGAAGCTAACCCGGCTCATCGCTTTGCATTGCATTCTGCTTTTGCGGCTGTTGCCATGGCGATTAAGCTGCGTTCCACCTCTGTTTCCAGCAGCTACACACACACATACGCACACACACACACACACACACACACACACACACACACACACACACACACACACACACACACACACACACACACCAGGATGCTGGATGTGCTTACGCTGTTCCTAGAGAGAATAAAAGACATGGCTTTCCAATTTTTGGGGGGAGTATTTTTGAACCGTTTCCCAAGCAGCGTGTGTTTGCCGATTGGACTTGAGCGCACACCTCCGTTTTTAGGACGCCATGTGTGCTGCTAGCATGTCCTTCCTGTTGTTTTGCCCTCCCTCTCACCCCTCAGCGCTCAGCTGGAAGGCTCCAAACACGTGAAAGTCGGCTCGTCGCCGCGTTTCCGGAATGTGGCGGAGAAGCCGGTCGGCCGTTTGGGTAGCAGGGAGAGCCGCTGCCAATGAAGTGTCGTCGTCGCAGCCGCGCGATTAGATTTCTCTGAAAGGGATGTATTGTTGTCAGGGAGCACCCAGCCGCATAATTGCCGGATTGAATTAGATAGCCGCCTGAGATGCTCGGGTCCCAAAAGGGGTCTGCAACTACACGATGGGAAGCGGTAGAGTCAAATTGGGCTCGGTGGGGTTGAAAATTCTGCCCCCGAAGCTCCTGTCACTCGGCAACGTGAAATTTGGAAGATGTGTCTGCTGTCAATAGAACCACAAAAAAAGTGTCATGAAAGACACAGGAAGTCTGACATTTTGGTTTGAAATGGCAGTTTTGGGTTAATTTTGGAGGCCTGCTGTAAAATCAATCAATCAATCAATCAATAAATAAATAAAATGAGCCCCTAGCGCCAGTTTCATTTGGCACCTTGTGCAATTAGGCACATCTATCGAAAGCAGAGCCGCGAAACAGTCTCAAGAAGTCATGCCAGAAAAGACCTGGCAAGTCTGCCATTTTGGCTCAACGCGGCGAGCGAGCCGCAGAAAGTTCACCCAAACCAAACTCGGTCCTCGCATTTTCTTTCCCCTTTTGCAGCGGCAACCTTTTCATACGCGTCCGCCCTCAAAGTGGTGCAAGAAAGGATGGCGCGGGCAGGCGCCGTTTAAGTGCGCACACTGCTGCTCTTTGTCAAGGTCACGCAGTGCGACCTTTTCCCTTCCACCGTCATGGGCCTGCTCCTGCTCCTCGCCGCACTCAGCCCGCCTCCTTCCTCACCCCCTCCCATCCACCTCTTTTTCTTTCTCCCGAGCTCCACTTTTCTAAATAAGGCCTCCTTGACCTCCCCTCTCCCACCACCACCCTTGCTATCACCCCACAAGCCCCACCCCTCACTCAATGCTGCCTCCTGTCAGACAGCTCGCCCCACTTTAACCACCAACCGGGGCCAAAATAGAAAAGCGCTCTCCTTGACGACGTCTCTGCCATGTCCTCTCTCACCCATTGCTGCCCCCCCGCCCCACCACCACCACCGCCCATCCCCTCCGCTTTACTCGCAGTGTCGCTTTACACTCGATGAAAAATGCCACGGTCAGACTGTGAAGCATTCCGAGTGTTATCTGGCTTGCAAAACCATTCAATGCCATTGTTGGCGTTTCGCGTGGCGGTGGTTCTTCTTCCTGAGTTTCGAGAGACGTGGCAACAGGTAGCACGTGATGCACCGTCTGAAGAAAAGAAGCTTATTTCTACGATTGCAAGAACAAATAAATAAATAAGGCACGAGTACAGTGCTACCTCTACTTACGAACGTCTCTTCATACGAAATTTTTGAAACGCCTCAACAGGAAAATCTTGCCTCTTGTTTTGAAAAAAGTTTCAAGATACGAAAGGTAAAAATACAGCGCGGGTTGCTAATCGCAGCTCCGAGTTTCCTGAATGCATCATACACTGGAGCTGCTCTGCCATTGGCTAATACCGAGCATCATCCTGGCATCCCATTGGCTAAGAGGGACCTCTACCGAATGCGTGTAGATCGATAAATAGATTGAGATGTGCCTATGCAGCGTCCTCGTCGTTCCGATTTGACGTCAATGCGAATCACCCAGCAAAAGTCGGGCGATTGCTCACGATGCTGATGTTTGCCTTGGACATTTTCGAAGGAATTTATAAAAGCCGACGAAAGCAAATGCCCTCGGATCGGTTTGTGACAAAACGCTAGGCAAAAACCATTTCTGAGAGAGATCGCGAACTAAACGGCAAAAACCGATGATGCAGTTAAAAGTTAAATGACCATCATTTTTATTCTTTCGTCTTTGTTTTTCACATGATGCACAACTCTCATTTATTGAGCAATAATCTAATTCGTTACATGCATTTGTTGCATATTTTAAACCATTTTTATGCTTTAGAAAACATTTAGGTCTGAATTTTGGGGGGGCTTGGAACGGATTAGGGCATTTACATGAAAAACGCGTCTCGACTTACAATTTCTTCCAGAACATATTCATTTTGGAAGTAGGGTCGATGACTTGAGTTTCATTTTCACCCTCGACTGCAGATTTGTCCCAATTTTGGAAAGCAGCATACCAGGCACCATCTTGAGCGGGACCTTTTATTAGTTTCCATGAATATTCCCGACGTTCCGTGACTTTTTTTCATGACCTTCCATGACAAATTTTTGCAACTTCCTGAGTTTCGAGAGGCTCGGCAACAAGCAGCCCGTTTCAATGACAAGGACAGCATTTGGATGGAACGTGACGTGACGGCAGTCCGCCTGGCTTTCATCTCCTGCGCCG